AGTCTTTCAAAGACAGGTGTATCAGGGGAAAAGTTGGTGAGGTGAGTTCTTTGGGTGAGCTCGACTCCACCCATGAGAAAATCACAGAATTCTTTGACCTCACTCCACCCGTACGATTTGCGTGGAATACATGTGCTTTTGAAATGCAAGACTGCGTTTACGTCAGCCATTATCATTGCAGTTAGTCGGGCTATGTCAGCGGCGTGTAGGTTTCGGCATAGCGCCAGCCCGTCTCCCACCGATCGCTGCAGCTTGGGAAGTTCAATGAGTGCTATCAAAGGCGTTAGCGACGCGACAACGCCGACGCGCCGTTGACACGCCCCGACAGAGTTGAGTGATAATAACCGGAGACTGATCTTCCTTTAATTGTAGGGTGCTGTTGGCCTAACCTTCGTCACCAATCAGTCGTACATCCAAGGAGCTAAGAAACTGGAGAGAGGATTCCAAATAAGTTATTCCATTGAAAGTAAGTGAAATTTTTACGGCCAGCTTATTTCTCTTATTCCCTGACTTGGAGAGCCCACTACAGCAAATTATCTAATATTCTGCTGGACGCAGACGCACTGAACTTTCAATTTTAGGATGTGGTGGGGACATTGAAATGACTGAAGATACCGGCTACATGGCCACAATCTCATCGCCTGCCGTTCCCTCTTGACTATGCTCACGACCTTGACTGTCTATGGAATGTCACTGCACCTGAGGGACGAGTGCTAGCCATCAAGTGAGTGAGGCCTTGTCGTTTTTTATGGGCTCGCTTGGCCTGGTCTTGTGTTGCTACTCCTTTGGCATGATCAGTATGTGAATAAGAATGTCTCGGAATGCGCGAGCTGTTGGTCAGGACACGAGGACTGCAGTCTTGAAAGAGGTCACCATGCGAAGGCATCATACTGATTAACCTGTTGCCCAAAGCGCACTTGCCACTTAGGGCACACTGCGGCGGCGCGGCGATGGCGACGTCGCTCGCGACTACCGCGCCTCCGCTGAGTGCCCGCGTGACACTCTACTCCTGCTAGCCTACGAAAATGAGTCTTGAGATACTACTAAAAGGGTTGACTCTTAGTCCCTTTCAGATTCGAGTTTATGGATCTCGAAATGTCAAGCGATTGTGTCATGGATTACCTCGAACTGGTCGATGGCGTAAATATGAATGGCACTAGCCTCGGCAAATTTTGTGGAGCAAAAGCCCAGTGAGTCATCAGTTTGCGGACTTTAATAGCGCCCGACTCGCTCTATTCGGACCACATTTTTCAGAATGCCAGCAGGACGATTGTACACCAAATCCAATAACCTCATGGCGAATTTTGTCACCGATCGAACGATGAACAGCGGTGGTTTCAAGCTGATCGTCACAGCTACATTGGGTATAATTGTTACTTGTTTTTCTTGTGATATAGTGTAGAGTGTGGGGGTGAAGGTCAAACTACGTGGAAGGAAGCATAAGTGGGATATGCCTTGCAACTGGGTCCTTAAATTAGCATATCTGGCGCAGTTTGGCTTGATAGGGGCATTAAAATTTGCCCAGCGAAGCTTCTACAAGCCACCTTATAAAGGCCTGTAAATTCCTGTGAGTGAAAAGGCTCACGTGAACAATTTCGTAGTTTCACAAGAGTTTGCAAGAAGTCTGAGCGAAAGTGAGACATGTTAA